CAGTGTTATGGTAAGAGAGCAACGTAAATAGAGGGACCAAATTCTAAGCAACTGGTTTTGTTTTGCATTTAGCTCTGAAGTCAGCTGCTATGTATCAGACCTAGCAAAGGTGCTATGTGATAGAAACCTTGTCTGATCTTTTCCAGCCATACCATTTAGTCTAATAAAAGACAGCCTGTAGGGGCAAGTCTCAGAGTTACAGAGAGTAGTGAGGAACCCAGCACCAACTGCTGCTAAATGCACCTTCACTGTGGCAGGGTGGATCTCAGAAAAAAAGCTCATGGGAAGACATGAGCACACAACAGGGGTGCTTTGTTTGTGAGGGCAGCTCTAAACAAATGCTTTGTCTTACCCATGTCCTTGTACTACCACAGTTATAACAAGACAATCACTGATGTCTTTCAGTCATGTCATCCGCTTGCCATTATTCTGTTGAAAAAGAAAGAGAGGACTCACATTTCCACTGCATAGCTGCAGCAATTAGAAATAGCTGCGCATGTATCAGTGGAAATTTCCAAGGGCGATATGCAAGGTGCTTTCCTCTTTTCTCTCATAACAAATATATCTCTGGCAGCTTCCAGGCACAAAGGTTTGTGTGAAAATCAAAACAGTCAGGTTTTAACTCTTGTACGCTTTTCTTTTGATAGTCTCAATAAAAGCGAAAAGAATCACAAAAAGTCTTCAATAGGACATAATCTTATGTGACATGCGAACACCTCTCTGAAACTGCAGAACTGTTACGATTAATCTGCTTGCACATGAAGAACCCTTGAAAAGCAATAGAAGTCTGTAAATTGAGCACTAGTGTTGAAAATAGATCAGTTCAAAACCTATGATTTGATTTCTGAAAAATTTCATGCATGTCAGCTCAAATATACCTAGGCATGCACATGCGCACACGCACACAAATATGAATGTTTTTGCTAAAACAATGTTTTTATGACTATTTTTCAACAAATATTCTGGACTGCTCCACCAAAAAGTTCTTTTTTAATCAAAGGAAATTGTGGAGATCCTCGACAGTATGAAATGTGTTTGCAACAATCCTGTATTATTAAATCCTGATGGGGCATCCGTTTCATCCTATTCAATAAAGCCCTTTATAGATTTTGATTCTTTCCTTTCTTGAAGCAGGCTAACGCTTCCTGCTGTAGGCTCTGGATGTGCACCCTTTTGAGCATTCTATCCAAGGATTGCTCTTGTTGCCTGTCACTGTAGTGAAGATCAGATAACCTGGGTTTTCTTCCCTAACTTTACCTTTGACTTTGCTTGTGCCCTTAGAAATGTCTGTAGTATTTCACTTTGTACAACAGCCCGCTTTCATAAAGACAGGTGGGGTTTTCAGAAGCCACACCTCACACCTCATGTATAGACTGCCTTCGATCTTTACTGAAACACATCTCAACCTTCCACCACTTGACACCACCTATTTCTTTTCTTGTTTTCATGTAATCATTTTTTTGTTAGCCCTCAAGAGGGGGACCATTAGAACAATTCTTACTAGTTATTTTACAGCTTTGATGGCCTCTGTCTTATCATTGGAGCCCAGCAATACTGGCCTTAAGATAAACTGCAACTACTTTTCCATCCTATACCCCATCCACACATGGGAAAACCACGCTTCAACCACTGAAGGTCTAACATATGCACAGGGTGGATTCTCAGGTGACCTTGGTCATAAATCCCATGTTTAAAAGACAATTTAACCCCATCCCTAAAAAATCTTGAACATCTAAGGGAGTCCAGTGCATCCTTCTCCAGGAGGGCGAACTCCCTGCAGAAAATATACATGAATTCTCTTTCTGCTTGCTGCTTCACTGTTAAAGGCTATGAACCTGCTAATTACTCTACTCTGAAACAAAGTCATGGGCACGCTGTTTGCATAAGAGCTGATCTTGTTGATACAGAACATTTCACACTCAACCCAGCCTTCTAATACTGTCAGACAGTCATTTGAACATGGCAGAGGTGTCTAAGTCTCATACCCATATCTAAACACAAGCATTCACCCTGAGCTACTGTGCCTCCTGGGTTGCAACTAATTCTGGGGACTTGGCTGGGTATCTTACCCAGACGAACCACAGTTTTTCATCCCCCACTTGGGCTACTGTCCAGGCATCCCATACAGACTTTCGGCATAGACACAGGTGTGCTGAGCTATCAACTTTCAGCATAATCATGAATCCTTACTCTAATTGAAGGGACCATTCCTACTGTGAGCTGCAGTAAAGGCCGTTGACACTGGAAAGGAGATTAGCTCATATTTACCCCATTCAAAGACAGCTACATCACTTGAATGATGCTCAGTATCTCCACTGAAGAAGGTTATGTGCAAACAAAGGAGCCATTTACAAAGCATTTACGAAACAATTCCAAGAGATTGTTATAAATCTCATGTCTTGTGCCTAGATAGAGTCCTGCTGAATATCATTCAGTTCAGTTTGATAGAAATGGCTGTCAAGATCACAGCCAAACTGGCTGTTAAGCCCCATTTTTGGCAAATAGAATTCCCTGCCACTGAACTCCAGTCTTCCAGAGTCAGCGTTGTTACCCTTAGCAGGCAAACTAAATCTCTGGCCTGGAAGTCCTTAGCTTGACTGCACTGACGGAGTGGGAGGTGTGCCCTTTGCATCCAGGTTAGCAGTAGAAACACTCCTTTAGGCAATATGAAGAAAGTGGCCAAGCCTGCATACTGTAAAAAAAAAAAAAAAAGGTATTTTCCAGTGGTACCAACACTAACATCCATCAAGTAATGTGTCATCTTATAAACTCCTATATTTAGTCTATTTTTCACCTTTGATGATGTGTTTTATCCCTAGAACCCCATCATACCTCAAGAAATTGTTCCTCAGTAATTCTTCCAAGAGTCATCAATGCCATTCACAGGTGACCTTCCAAATATCAGGAATAAGCCTCAAATACAGCCAGTGACTGAGTCTGATAATTCATGATCTTAGTTCCAACTTGGTTCCCTTCATTCCTTTCTCACCACTCCAGTCCAAGGCTGAAATCCAACTGCTTTGCATGTGCACGGCATTGACATGCTGCCAATGACTGTAAATTGGACCTTTAGGAAAGGTAGAGATCACAGACCCACAGGATGCACCATCACCAGGGAAGCTCACAGAGGGGGCAAGCAGCTCTGACAATGTAAGAAATGCCTCAGACAGTCAAACAATGTAATTGTCTGTGCTTGAGAACTGTATGGACGTTGATGAAAAAGCATCTGCAAGATTTTTGTTCTGCTTATCTCTAGGAGCACTCCTGTCTTTCTGCAGTGTTAAAAGCCAGCCCTCCATCTTCAGATAGAAGGAGACCAAGGGCAGGATGTCTGTGACGGTGCCATCTCAGACCCACATGTCACCCACATTTGATATTTATTGTGGCTGCTCTCAAAACACATCTGTTTTTCAAGTGCATGCCATTCAAGCAGCTTTCTGAAAATTCAGATGTTTACACAGAGGTTTTAGCTTACACCAGCAAACTCCCTTTACACAGAGAGGCTGCAGTTCTGTGTCTGTACATGTCTGTCTGTGTCTCTCCTATGCAAATGTGTCCCTCTGGCTCTGACCCTAAGGTTTAGTTGCAACAGCACCAGGCAATCTTTTCTGTGCAGTTTCACAAAGCAGCAGTGCTTAAGTATTCCTGTGGGCAGCTGATGAATTTGGGTGTACTGCATGGTAAAAATGTTTGTGTTTTATAGAGAGCACAAAGAAGCCTTAAGGAATATCCTTGCAGGAATTTTTGCTGATGCAGTTTGTTTTGTTGCCTCCTAATTGGAAGGAGGCCTTGTTATCAGCATTTGTGCCCAGTTGCACAGATTGTTTACCTGCTGTGAGGGAGCCGCAGTGCTCGGTATTTTAAGTCAGAGCTGCTAATACCATTATTTTCTGAGAACACAGCCAATAAAAATATCAAAGCCGCCCAAGGTTAACATGGTGGTACCTCTCCTCAGCTTTAGCCTCCAGCTATAAGAAGCTTTGTGGTTACTCAGGGAAAAATCTCCCAGTTCTCAAATTTTAATTTTTAAGAGAATGTAAAGTGGAACAGATTTTGCTACTAAGGTTTATTCCAAGAGCAATGACAGTTTCAAGAGCAGAGTCCCATTCTTGCTTCCCAAGCCCTTCTGAGATCCTCTTCGTAAACTCCAGGTGACTTTATCTGAGAAGCAGTTGTGAAGGGCTTGCTAGACACCAGCCAGTTCACATCAGTATCGATAATGGGAGCTGACAAAAAAAGGATTCTGTTTCTGGATGATCCCCACAAGGTACAGTGAGGCCAGAAGCCCTCTGACCTGAGCTTGGGTGGAATGTGGTCGGAGTAGTCCCTGCTCTGGAGGATGAGTGGATCTCAAACCACAGGGTGATGAGGAATGTGGGTCAGTGATTCAATGCATTTCCTTGGAACCATTCAGATTTATTAGGAATGGCCCTTTATAAGGAATGAAACAAGAAGCATTTCTTTTTATATAGAAAGACAGGGAAGGAGGAAGTTGATACTCTCAGCAACTGAAACGAAGAGAATCTGGAAACTCTTGTTTAAAGGGTATCTTCTCAGAAACCTTTGTTTAATTTAACACCAATGCACTCATCAGACACTTTTTTTAATGGATTCCTCTCAAGAAAGTTTATGTTTTCCCTGAAGCATCCAGGAAATCCCTGCATTTACATGTTCAATGCTTATACATTAAATGGGAAATATGTGTTTGCTAACACATTACATTACAGAGTGAGGGCATTTTTTTATTATTATTCCTTTTATTTATCAGGCTGATTGCAGCATTTTTTGTTTAATCGAGTACATGTTTGCTGTCTACATCTGTGATGGCAAAACCCCAAAATGGGATGTGAAATAGGGAAGTGGCTACAATTCACCAAAGACCACCACTTGTTTGCATGCTTCTGTCTGAAACAGGTGGATCTGGAGGGAGTTATTTTGAGCTTAAGTTAATGCTGACCTCAGCTGAAATAATTTGCCCTCTCGCTGCTCCTCCAATACAGAGTCAAGAGGGAGCTGTCTGACTGCTGCGTGTGATTGTACCCATCTGTCAACAGAATCAGAGATCCGAATGCAAACTGTAGCGCTCGGGAACACCGTGTGGGTTTCCAACACTCCCTGAAGGACACGAGGACCATAAACCAGTGAATGGATTACAATAAGGCATAAATAGAGCATTTTTGTCTGTGACAGATGTAACCCTGCTCTAACACTGCTCTACATTTATTTAAAGGAAAATGGTCTCTATTTCAAACCAGGTTTCTGAATTTCAAATGAGAATATCAGTTGTAACCATTTTTCCATGGGAATAATCGTAAGCCTCCTTTGGAGGTGGTTTGGCAGTGTTGTTTTGGAGGGCACAGGCCATTAGCTCCCACAGAGCACCCCTTCCCCAGTGAGCACAAGACCAGAGAAGGGACTGCAGGCTTCTGCATATCTTGCCGCCCCAAGCAGGGAAAGGCTTGCTTTGCTGCCCTGGCTTGCCATTTGAAGCCTGCAGCACCACGAGCCAGCCAGGCTGTAAAAGAGTTATGAGGAATAATGTCCCAAAGCCAAGAAGCAGGTGTGAGACATGCTTCTCACTTGTGCAGACATATGCTGCAAAATGTTGCAACCTTTCCCGCATATTATCTTAATGTATAGTCATTAGGCAGGACAGAGAGGAGAGCGCACATATGGAAAACGTCTCTTATTTGGAGACAGGAGCATGTACTTCCCTTTGATGCTGGCACATGCAAGGAAATACTGATATGCCAACTCCAAACTGCAGATCACAACCTGATAAAGAGACAATCTCAAAGAAGGCAGGAATTTTACCACGTTTTAGGTTACAAATATTTTTTTACGAATTATTCCCAGAAGCAACACAGCTGGATCCTGGATGACTGCATCGGTAAGTCCTACCAGGGAAATAACTTGAAAGACAGAGATGTGGGATGAAGGTTGTGCTAAGTTCAGGTAATGTGGGCCTGTGGCATTGTGTTAGCTCATTCCTTGGACAGCCTTTGATGTACTCACAGCTTTTAAGTCAGGAAAGGAAACATGCATGTCAAATAGCTGGATAAGAGGGTGTAGCTGAGTAGAATATTCATATCAGTAAATGGCCAGATTCTAACACCTTTGAAGTGCTGGATTATTTTAGTTTTCCCTAAAAGTAAATCCTGATGACCTCCAATGACATCTAAAGTATTCTAGACTCTTAAACCAGCCAAGAAGCAATCACAGACACTGATTTGTCATAGGAAACAAACCCACAGAGTAGCTGATGGCTGGGGTTTAAGGAATTGTTGTATTGTATTACCAGGCAGAAACTGGTAGAATTCAGGCAGAACAAAATAATCCTGTTACTGAAAAGTCTAATTGAAAGGACCCTATCGGTTAAGGGCTGGTTATCTGCAGATTTTTGAAAGATTCAGGCATTAAGTGAGAATAAGAATCATGTATTTATTAGCGATGAGATAAAACCAGGATCTTCAGAAGTTTGCCTGAACTTCCAAAAATTAAAAAACAAACCCCACAAGTACAGGCAAAGTTGCTTGCAAAGTAACTTTTCATGGGAAAGGGAGGGAGTTTCATTTCTTGGAATATTAAAAAACAGCCAAAACCTAGGAAATGAGTTGCAGAAAATGGATGTACATTTTCATAGAGATGAATTAGGTGAACTTCATGGCACAACAGGAACGCAATTTTTTCATCTCTGTCTCTATTCCACTTTAGCTACAGACATATCCTACTGGTGTAACAATCCAGTGATTTTGTAGACTTGATCTTTTGGCACAGGCACATAAATATACGTCAACAAATTTCTTCCTTTCTCTTAGATTTTTATATAGATCACACCCTTCACTGCTGTTCTGTTCCCAGCTGGGGAGATGTTCTGTGACTTCCAGGTCAAACAATTTCAGCGGGGTCCAACAGCAAAAATAACACACTGACGTAAATCCGTGAACATTTATTCAGCCGCTATTGAGTTCATGTTCAGGCTTGGTCCTGTGGCTTGTACTGCCCTTTCTGGATGTGTGCACGGAGGGACAGAAACAGGGCCACTAGAGCCATGCAGCCTCCAGCTGTCACATTTCTGCACCTATTTTCTTAGCCTTTCACATCCACTGCTGAGATCCCAGTCATACGAAATCTTGGGCTTTCCCTCAGTGGTGCCCAGAGAAGAGAAGATATTAATGAGGAAGCACATAGCTCTTCTACTCTCCAAGGGAGCCAGTGGAGACAGAGGTGTATGGTTTCTTCTCTTTGCATATTCCAGAGTAAGGACAACTTGCAAAAGAGTGAGTTTTCCTCGTGTCTGTTTATAAAAGATTAGGTTTGTGCTGCATAAGCTGTAATTTATGCATTTTCATGGTGGTGTTACTTTGATGTTACTGACTGTGAAGTTTTGATACCTAGTGCAATTGTGAAATTTCACCAATGAAACAGATAAACTTCTCCATACTCATCAGCTACTTCCCAGAGTGTGTCTTCAGCAAGAGACATCCCAGTGTCTTGTAGGATAAGGAATTTTCTGGAGAAGTTTGTGTATCATTTTGAAAACTGGAGAAATATGAGGGCACTGTTGTTGTTCCAAGGGCAGCTCCCAAGCAGGCAGTAAAGAAAGACACGTGAAACATACTGGTCATGGAGAACAACCCCTCCCTGTTCCCTGCCACCCATCCAGAGTAAAGAACACTTGTGTACTTTACTCAAAAAGCCAGCCCATACCCCTTTTTCTCCACTATGAGTGTCAAAGCACTGAACTCATCCTATTACTCTCTGTTGTTTATAGTCCTGGTGCATGTTTCCAGTCCCTGCCAGAGATGAAAGGCTCACTGGACTTGCCACAGTTTGTTAATGGCACAAAGCTTTTGATTTGATTTGTTCCAAGTATGAGGGCATATTCAGTACAGCCAAGACAAGCTGCAAAATTCTTCTGCTTCTTCCATGATCTGTCATCACCTGCCTTCTAGCCAAGACATGGTTTGGAAGAGTCAGTGGGTAAACAGCATGTGGAACAAATCATATCTGGAAAGAGAAAAAATCCAAAGTAGTGCTGCACGCGTTGCTGGCTCTTGTACAGGGATGTTCTTGCTGGTCTCTGCAGGCTGTTGATGGACAAGGAATTTTCTTTAATTGATATTAACCTGTTCTCTTTTCTTTTTTTTTTTTTTATTTAATCTCCCAACTGTACCTGCTAGCAAGCTACTGATGATTCTAACATACATGGCATGAAATCAGGTTTTCAGGGCAGCAAAACTTCACCTCTCAGAAGGAAAACTTCAAACCCAGGCCAAGTTTCCTTTAGTTTGTTCTCTGTTTGTTGCCATGTGGTTATATGCAACATGTATGTAACATGGTCACATGTAACAAAGTAGGGATCAAACTGTTTTCAGTTGAGTAAATGAAAATAATATGACTTCAGCTCAAATAGGTAAGTAAATTATCTACCTGTGTTACGAATGACACAGATAAGCTTTTAAAATCAAATCTCTTTTCCTCTGACTGATGTTTCTTTCTTGTACTTTATGAGTGTTGAGTGGTCTTTCTTTACAAGACAGAGTTGTTTTCTTTCCTGCTTTTCTAGTTCCTGTATGCCAGAAAGAAGAGCTGGTTTTGATTTCAAACAGTGTAGAAGAACATTTCAGTTCAGAATTATAGCAACAGAATTTTAACTGACATAGTTTTGTAAAATGTTACACATTAAGATCATAGCCTACTCTGTAAAATACAATTTAAAAACACTTAAACTATTTAAACTGCTCAGCAGTGGCAGTATAATGGAGAAGAGGAAAAGAACAAAACCAACTGTGTCTGATTTCTCTTTCCCCTCTGTGCAGAGAGTTGCAGTCATGAAGCTTCTCATCACCACCCCACTATCAAGCAAAGCTTCCTTCCCCCCTGCAGGCACAGCATGCAGAGGAAGGGGTCCCTGCCTTCACCCATGCTCTGCTCCACTGCAGGGAGCACTGCTGAGACTGTAGGCTGTCAGGGACCAAGCAGATGGTGGGGTAGATGGGAGGGATGGGATGGAGGATCTGCTCAGGCCAGGATGGGGGCTCAGAGGGAAGCACCGACCTCCATGCATCCTACACCACTCAGGAGGACAAGACTGGTGGGCAGGCGGTCTAGCTGTGGCCCTGTGCCCAAAGGGATGTGTGTGTGGCTCAAGGATCTTTCTTAAGATTCAGCTTCTTCCATGCCCAGTTTGGATGGCAACAGGAGAGTGACTCTCAGCCATGCTCAATGGTATGCCTGCAATTATTCCTTAACCTCCCTCTACTTCCAAGACCATGCAACCAAGTAATATTGGATCCCTGTGGAGAACTTACTCTGTGCAGCTTTGTCCTTTTAACCTTCTAATGCTCTTCCAGTTTAAGCTGTTTGTGGCAAGACCTAGACTTAAATTGCTGAATGCAGATGTCACAAATTGCTTTTCAATATGCTCTGGTGATTCCTGGAGCTGCTGACAAGACCTGAAAGGGTGAGTTGTAAAAGAAGGTTTTAGTTTGGAGAAGCTTTAAACTGCTTTCTCCTAGTTCAGCATCTGGTCCCACATGAGTGATGAACCAAATAGTACAAAGGGAAAATGAAACTGCTTTCCCAAAGAATGGGCTCATGGCCGGTGAAACTCTGCCAAAGGATGAAAGTAAATGTTATAAAGAAAGAGGGAAATCTGAAGAAGGTGGGAAATCTCCTTCCATGGCAGTTTTCAAAGAGAGATGCAGAGGAATATCTCCTTGAATATGTCCTTCTCTGGAGATACTAACATTTGTCTGGATGTAATCCTGTGCAACCTGCTTTAGGTGAACCTGCTTTGGCAGGGGAGATGGACTAGGTCATCTCCAGAGGTCCCTTCCAACCCCAATCATTCTGTGATTCCATGATTGATTCTGTGATTCTGTAAATCTATAAAATGTGGAGCAGGGCAGTTTGTAATTGCTTTCCACTGGGTTACTGTCGTATCCTTCCTAAGCAGTCCATGGAGGGGACTGCCAGATACAGGGACCTGAACAAGATGGGTGCTCCCTCCAGTTGGTTATGACAGTTCCTGTCTCCCGCCAAGAGAGAGGCAGCCTTCAGCACATCACCTGGGAAAGGCACTACTCCTGCAGCACTACCATCACCAAAACCAACAAACCAAAAATGACGTTTAGGAAAAAAAGCACCTCATTGGTGCTCACAACCAGAGTGGCAAAGAACTGAATGGAAAAATTGTCCCTCCAGCACTGCAACACATTCCTTGCAAACACTGCCATGAAAATTCTCCATCAAGTCCTCTGGGCTTTAAAGGAATGAAGATGTGCCAAAATGCTTGAGGGCAATTGCGTCTTTATTTATTTATTTATTATCTTCTTTAGAAGTGTGTGCATCTGGATGTTAAGGTCCATGATTGGATATTCAGGTTATATTCCTCTTTTAATTATGAAAATGTCTGAATCTTATGTTTTCTTTCTTCCTCCCCCTATCCTCTTCCTTTCACCCTAGTACCTTGAGATGCCAAGGGTCACTGGTCTGCAGTTAGTGACTGGAAGATTCTACTGTGATAATTATATTTAATATTTAATTTTTATAGCAATATTGATATTTGTTATAAAACCACTAGGCATGAACTTTAGTGCAGATCTCTAGTTATTTGGAGGAAAAACTCCAAATGCACCCATCTTGTTGATTCTGCATCTGGACAGTTGCAGACCAGTCCATACTGGGAACAATTTGGTGATAGGGCTGGGTGGGAAGAAATATGTTTTTTCCTACCCAGACAGGGCAGCCAGGCTCCCTCACCCAGCAGAGCAGCTCACAGCAGCACCCAGGCACCACTGCTGCAGGGGCCAGAAAGTACTGCAAACTTGAAAGCAAATAGCTAAGCTATAAGGTTCAGAGCAGGCAGAAAGTTGGGGAGAAAGGGAGCTGAACTGAGAACATCTCCACATTCGGGTAGGCTTCTGATCAGGGGAAGAGAGCTGCAGTCTAGCAAAGGGATCTTGGTGCATGAATGTATTGTCACAAGTCACACCTCCTTGTTCTTGCTGAAACCAGACCTCTATCCTGGTTGGACACAGCTCTGTACCTACTTCCTGACTGCTGCTCAGAAACTGCATGTTAATGTATCTTTTAAATTCAAAATCTCT